CCGGGCATGACAGCCTTTCAAGGGCAAATTCAGCTAGTTGGGGCCAAAGGTCAAGTTTCGTTGCCCAGTAGTCAAGGGGATTGTCTACCTCGGTTGGCAGGGTGCTGTCCAAGTAGGCCCAAGCCTGTTGTTTGAGGTCCTGCTCCAGGTCCACCTGATGCTGCTGCTGCTGCGGCTGGTTAGTAGTTTCCTCACTGCGCTGGTGAAGAAAGCTACTCATCATCGACTGCAGACTGAGGCAGCCGCTGCTGGTGGAGCTGCCACTGCTCCTACCACCCCACCCCTCCCCTGCTGCCATGGCAGCGGAACGCGAGCGCACAGGGCCCACAGTGTCTGAGGATGGACGTTGGCGCAGAAAGGCAGAGACCAACTGACTACATAGGTGGTTTTTATAGTACGTTATTTTGGCCTCCCTCTCAGCAGGTGTGAAAAAGGCCACCATTTTTGAACGGTAGCGAGGGTCCAACAAGGTGGACAGCCAAAAGTCATCCCTCTGTCTGATGGTTATTATTCGGCTGTCGCTACGCAAGCAAGCGAGCATGCTATGGGCCATTTGTGCCAAGGAATGCGAGGGACTCCCTGCCTCCATCTCCACAGCATGCTGCCACGGTGCGTCTGGGTCCTCTGTCTCCTCCTCCTCCTCCTCTACCAGATGCTCCTGCTCCTCCACTCCTGTCCGCTGAGTGGAAAAACCACCCATTTCACTCAATAATTCCTGAGCACCAATGTCCTCCTCTACCTCTTCCTCTTCTTCCTGTCCTGCCCCCACAGGGGTCATGTGGCGTTGAGATCTGTGCGCCACGTCTACCGCACCCTGACCAGCCATTGTTAACAGCATTTGTTCCAGGACGTGCAACAGAGGAATGACGTCGTTCATCCCATAGTCCTGCCGACTCACGAATAGCGTGGCCTCCTCAAAGGGCCTCAGCAAGCGGCAGGTGTCACGCATGAGCTGCCAATGGCTGACATCTAAGTTACACAGGGGAGTACCTTTATCCGCTTGTAACATCAGGAAATCTGTGATGGCCTTTCGCTGTTCGTAAAGGCGGTCTAACATATGTAGGGTTGAATTCGTCACAGCATGAGGAGTCGGTACGGGGGCCCATGGCAGATTACGGGCCTGGCAGCAGCAATGGGAGGCCCGTAATCTGCCAGCACCCTATGAAAAAATGGAACACACCAGCAGTGTGAGGAGACCTGAAAGTGGCACATGGCAGAGTGTGGCGATGGAGACAGCAGCAATGGGAGGCCGTACAGGGACCCATGAGAGACTCTGGACCTGGCAGCAGCATGAGGAGGCGGTACTGGGGGCCCATGGCAGATTACGGGCCTGGCAGCAGCAATGGGAGCCCGTAATCTGCCAGCACCCTATGACAAAATGGAACACACCAGCAGTGTGAGGAGACCTGAAAGTGGCACATGGCAGAGTGTGGCGATGGAGACAGCAGCAATGGGAGGCCGTACAGGGACCCATGAGAGACTCTGGACCTGGCAGCAGCATGAGGAGGCGGTACGGTACAGGGGCCCATGGCAGATTACGGGCTGGCAGCAGCAATGGGAGGCCCGTAATCTGCCAGCACCCTATGACAAAATGGAACACACCAGCAGTGTGAGGAGACCTGAAAGTGGCACATGGCAGAGTGTGGCGATGGAGACAGCAGCAATGGGAGGCCGTACAGGGACCCATGAGAGACTCTGGACCTGGGCAGCAGCAGCAGGAGGAGGCGGTACAGGGGCCCATGGCAGATTACACGGGCCTGGCAGCAGCAATGGGAGGCCCGTAATCTGCCAGCACCCTATGACAAAATGGAACACACCAGCAGTGTGAGGAGACCTGAAAGTGGCACATGGCAGAGTGTGGCGATGGAGACAGCAGCAATGGGAGGCCGTACAGGGACCCATGAGAGACTCTGGACCTGGCAGCAGCATGAGGAGGCGGAGGCGGTACAGGGGCCCATGGCAGATTACGGGCCTGGGCAGCAGCAATGGGAGGCCCGTAATCTGCCAGCACCCTATGACAAAATGGAACACACCAGAGTGTGTGAGGAGACCTGAAAGTGGCACATGGCAGAGTGTGGATGGATGGAGACAGCAGCAATGGGAGGCCGTACAGGGACCCATGAGAGACTCTGGACCTGGCAGCAGCATGAGGAGGCGGTACAGGGGCCCATGGCAGATTACGGGCCTGGCAGCAGCAATGGGAGGCCCGTAATCTGCCAGCACCCTATGACAAAATGGGAACACACCAGCAGTGTGAGGAGACCTGAAAGTGGCACATGGCAGAGTGTGGCGATGGAGACAGCAGCAATGGGAGGCCGTACAGGGACCCATGAGAGACTCTGGACCTGGCAGCAGCATGAGGAGGCGGTACAGGGGCCCATGGCAGATTACGGGCCTGGCAGCAGCAATGGGAGGCCCGTAATCTGCCAGCACCCTATGACAAAATGGAACACACCAGCAGTGTGAGGAGACCTGAAAGTGGCACATGGCAGAGAGTGTGGCGATGGAGACAGCAGCAATGGGAGGCCGTACAGGGACCCATGAGAGACTCTGGACCTGGCAGCAGCATGAGGAGGCGGTACAGGGGGCCCATGGCAGATTACGGGCCTGGCAGCAGCAATGGGAGGCCCGTAATCTGCCAGCACCCTATGACAAAATGGAACACACCAGCAGTGTGAGGAGACCTGAAAGTGGCACATGGCAGAGTGTGGCGATGGATGGAGACAGCAGCAATGGGAGGCCGTACAGGGACCCATGAGAGACTCTGGACCTGGCAGCAGCATGAGGAGGCGGTACAGGGGCCCATGGCAGATTACGGGCCTGGCAGCAGCAATGGGAGGCCCGTAATCTGCCAGCACCCTATGACAAAATGGAACACACCAGCAGTGTGAGGAGACCTGAAAGTGGCACATGGCAGAGTGTGGCGATGGAGACAGCAGCAATGGGAGGCCGTACAGGGACCCATGAGAGACTCTGGACCTGGCAGCAGCATGAGGGGCGGTACAGGGGCCCATGGCAGATTACGGGCCTGGCAGCAGCAATGGGAGGCCCGTAATCTGCCAGCACCCTATGACAAAAAATGGAACACACCAGCAGTGTGAGGAGACCTGAAAGTGGCACATGGCAGAGTGTGGCGATGGAGACAGCAGCAATGGGAGGCCGTACAGGGACCCATGAGAGAGACTCTGGACCTGGGCAGCAGCATGAGGAGGCGGTACAGGGGCCCATGGCAGATTACGGGCCTGGCAGCAGCAATGGGAGGCCCGTAATCTGCCAGCACCCTATGACAAAATGGACACACACCAGCAGTGTGAGGAGACCTGAAAGTGGCACATGGCAGAGTGTGGCGATGGAGACAGCAGCAATGGGAGGCCGTACAGGGACCCATGAGAGACTCTGGACCTGGCAGCAGCATGAGGAGGCGGTACAGGGGCCCATGGCAGATTACGGGCCTGGCAGCAGCAATGGGAGGCCCGTAATAATCTGCCAGCACCCTATGACAAAAATGGAACACACCAGCAGTGTGAGGAGACCTGAAAGTGGCACATGGCAGAGTGTGGCAGAGTGTGGCGATGGAGACAGCAGCAATGGGAGGCCGTACAGGGACCCATGAGAGACTCTGGACCTGGGCAGCAGCATGAGGAGGCGGTACAGGGGCCCATGGCAGATTACGGGCCTGGCAGCAGCAATGGGAGGCCCGTAATCTGCCAGCACCCTATGAAAAAAATGGAACACACCAGCAGTGTGAGGAGACCTGAAAGTGGCACATGGCAGAGTGTGGCGATGGAGACAGCAGCAATGGGAGGCCGTACAGGGACCCATGAGAGACTCTGGACCTGGCAGCAGCATGAGGAGGGAGGCGGTACAGGGGCCCATGGCAGATTACGGGCCTGGCAGCAGCAATGGGAGGCCCGTAATCTGCCAGCACCCTATGACAAAATGGAACACACCAGCAGTGTGAGGAGACCCTGAAAGTGCACATGGCAGAGTGTGGCGATGGAGACAGCAGCAATGGGAGGCCGTACAGGGACCCATGAGAGACTCTGGACCTGGCAGCAGCATGAGGAGGCGGTACAGGGGCCCATGGCAGATTACGGGCCTGGCAGCAGCAATGGGAGGCCCGTAATCTGCCAGCACCCTATGACAAAATGGAACACACCAGCAGTGTGAGGAGACCTGAAAGTGGCACATGGCAGAGTGTGGCGATGGAGACAGCAGCAATGGGAGGCCGTACAGGGACCCATGAGAGACTCTGGACCTGGCAGCAGCATGAGGAGGCGGTACAGGGGCCCATGGCAGATTACGGGCCTGGCAGCAGCAATGGGAGGCCCGTAATCTGCCAGCACCCTATGACAAAATGGAACACACCAGCAGTGTGAGGAGACCTGAAAGTGGCACATGGCAGAGTGTGGCGATGGAGACAGCAGCAATGGGAGGCCGTACAGGGACCCATGAGACACTCTGGACCTGGCAGCAGCATGAGGAGGCGGCGGGTACAGGGGCCCATGGCAGATTACGGGGGCAGCAGCAATGGGAGGCCCGTAATCTGCCAGCACCCTATGACAAAATGGACACACCAGCAGTGTGAGGAGACCTGAAAGTGGCACATGGCAGAGTGTGGCGATGGAGACAGCAGCAATGGGAGGCCGTACAGGGACCCATGAGAGACTCTGGACCTGGCAGCAGCATGAGGAGGAGGAGGGGGTACAGGGGCCCATGGCAGATTACGGGCCTGGCAGCAGCAATGGGAGGCCCGTAATCTGCCAGCACCCTATGACAAAATGGAACACACCAGCAGTGTGAGGAGACCTGAAAGTGGCACATGGCAGAGTGTGGCGATGGAGACAGCAGCAATGGGAGGCCGTACAGGGGGACCCATGAGAGACTCTGGACCTGGCAGCAGCATGAGGAGGCGGTACAGGGGCCCATGGCAGATTACGGGCCTGGCAGCAGCAATGGGAGGGCCGTAATCTGCCAGCACCCTATGACAAAATGGAACACACCAGCAGTGTGAGGAGACCTGAAAGTGGCACATGGCAGAGTGTGGCGATGGAGACAGCAGCAATGGGAGGCCGTACAGGGACCCATGAGAGACTCTGGACCTGGCAGCAGCATGAGGAGGCGGTACAGGGGCCCATGGCAGATTACGGGCCTGGCAGCAGCAATGGGAGGCCCGTAATCTGCCAGCACCCTATGACAAAATGGAAGCACCAGCAGTGTGAGGAGACCTGAAAGTGGCACATGGCAGAGAGTGTGGCGATGGAGACAGCAGCAATGGGAGGCCGTACAGGGACCCATGAGAGACACTCTGGACTGGCAGCAGCATGAGGAGGCGGAGGGGTACAGGGGCCCATGGCAGATTACGGGCCTGGCAGCAGCAATGGGAGGCCCGTAATCTGCCAGCACCCTATGACAAAATGGAACACACCAGCAGTGTGAGGAGACCTGAAAGTGGCACATGGCAGAGTGTGGCGATGGAGACAGCAGCAATGGGAGGCCGTACAGGGACCCGTAGGGACCCATGAGAGACTCTGGACCTGGCAGCAGCATGAGGAGGCGGGTACGGGGGCCCATGGCAGATTACGGGCCTGGCAGCAGCAATGGGAGGCCCGTAATCTGCCAGCACCCTATGACAAAATGGAACACACCAGCAGTGTGAGGAGACCTGAAAGTGGCACATGGCAGAGTGTGGCGATGGAGACAGCAGCAATGGGAGGCCGTACAGGGACCCATGAGACTCTGGACCTGGCAGCAGCATGAGGAGGCGGTACAGGGGGCCCATGGCAGATTACGGGCCTGGCAGCAGCAATGGGAGGCCCGTAATCTGCCAGCACCCTATGACAAAATGGACACACCAGCAGTGTGAGGAGACCTGAAAGTGGCACATGGCAGAGTGTGGCGATGGAGACAGCAGCAATGGGAGGCCGTACAGGGACCCATGAGAGACTCTGGACCTGGCAGCAGCATGAGGAGCATGAGGGGCATGGGGTACAGGGGCCCATGGCAGATTACGGGCCTGGCAGCAGCAATGGGAGGCCCGTAATCTGCCAGCACCCTATGACAAAAAAATGGAACACCAGCAGTGTGAGGAGACCTGAAAGTGGCACATGGCAGAGTGTGGCGATGGAGACAGCAGCAGCAATGGGAGGCCGTACAGGGACCCATGAGAGACACTCTGGACCTGGCAGCATGAGGAGGCGGGGGTACAGGGGCCCATGGCAGATTACGGGGGCCTGGCAGCAGCAATGGGAGGCCCGTAATCTGCCAGCACCTATATGAAAATGGAACACACCAGCAGTGTGAGGAGACCTGAAAGTGGCACATGGCAGAGTGTGGCGATGGAGACAGCAGCAATGGGAGGCCGTACAGGGACCCATGACTCTGGACTCTGGACTGGCAGCAGCATGAGGAGGCGGTACAGGGGCCCATGGCAGATTACGGGCCTGGCAGCAGCAATGGGGGAGGCCCGTAATCTGCCAGCACCCTATGACAAAATGGAACACACCAGCAGTGTGAGGAGACCTGAAAGTGGCACATGGCAGAGTGTGGCGATGGAGACAGCAGCAATGGGAGGCCGTACAGGGACCCATGAGAGACTCTGGACCTGGCAGCAGCATGAGGAGGCAGGGGGTACAGGGGCCCATGGCAGATTACGGGCCTGGCAGCAGCAATGGGAGGCCCGTAATCTGCCAGCACCCTATGACAAAAAATGGAACACACCAGCAGTGTGAGGAGACCTGAAAGTGGCACATGGCATGGCAGAGTGTGGCGATGGAGACAGCAGCAATGGGAGGCCGTACAGGGACCCATGAGAGACTCTGGACCTGGCAGCAGCATGAGGAGGCGGGGGTACACAGGGGGCCCATGGCAGATTACGGGCCTGGCAGCAGCAATGGGAGGCCCGTAATCTGCCAGCACCCTATGACAAAATGGAACACACCAGCAGTGTGAGGAGACCTGAAAGTGGCACATGGCAGAGTGTGGCGATGGAGACAGCAGCAATGGGAGGCCGTACAGGGACCCATGAGAGACTCTGGACCCTGGCAGCAGCATGAGGAGGCAGGGGGTACGGGGGCCCATGGCAGATTACGGGCCTGGCAGCAGCAATGGGAGGCCCGTAATCTGCCAGCACCCTATGACAAAATGGAACACACCAGCAGTGTGAGGAGACCTGAAAGTGGCACATGGCAGAGTGTGGCGATGGAGACAGCAGCAATGGGAGGCCGTACAGGGACCCATGAGAGACTCTGGACCTGGCAGCAGCATGAGGAGGCGGTAGGGGGGCCCATGGCAGATTACGGGCCTGGCAGCAGCAATGGGAGGCCCGTAATCTGCCAGCACCCTATGACAAAATGGAACACACCAGCAGTGTGTGAGGAGACCTGAAAGTGGCACATGGCAGAGTGTGGCGATGGAGACAGCAGCAATGGGAGCCGTACAGGGACCCATGAGAGACTCTGGACCTGGCAGCAGCATGAGGAGGCGGTACAGGGGCCCATGGCAGATACGGGGGCCTGGCAGCAGCAATGGGAGGCCCGTAATCTGCCAGCACCCTATGACAAAATGGACACACCAGCAGTGTGAGGAGACCTGAAAGTGGCACATGGCAGAGTGTGGCGATGGAGACAGCAGCAATGGGAGGCCGTACAGGGACCCATGAGACACTCTGGACCTGGCAGCAGCATGAGGAGGCGGTACAGGGGCCCATGGCAGATTACGGGCCTGGCAGCAGCAATGGGAGGCCCGTAATCTGCCAGCACCCTATGACAAAATGGAACACACCAGCAGTGTGAGGAGACCTGAAAGTGGCACATGGCAGAGTGTGGCGATGGAGACAGCAGCAATGGGAGGCCGTACAGGGACCCATGAGACTCTGGACTCTGGACCTGGCAGCAGCATGAGGAGGAGGCGGTAGGGGTACAGGGGCCCATGGCAGATTACGGGCCTGGCAGCAGCAATGGGAGGCCCGTAATCTGCCAGCACCCTATGACAAAATGGACACCAGCAGCAGTGTGAGACCTGAAAGTGGCACATGGCAGAGTGTGGCGATGGAGACAGCAGCAATGGGAGGCCGTACAGGGACCCATGACTCTGGACTCTGGACCTGGGGCAGCAGCATGAGGAGGCGGGTACAGGGGCCCATGGCAGATTACGGGCCTGGCAGCAGCAATGGGAGGCCCGTAATCTGCCAGCACCCTATGACAAAATGGAACACACCAGCAGTGTGAGGAGACCTGAAAGTGGCACATGGCAGAGTGTGGCGATGGAGACAGCAGCAATGGGAGGCCGTACAGGGACCCATGAGAGACTCTGGACCTGGCAGCAGCATGAGGAGGGCGGTACGGGGGCCCATGGCAGATTACGGGCCTGGGCAGCAGCAATGGGGCCCGTAATCTGCAGCACCCTATGACAAAAAATGGAACACACCAGCAGTGTGAGGAGACCTGAAAGTGGCACATGGCAGAGTGTGGCGATGGAGACAGACAGCAGCAATGGGAGGCCGTACAGGGACCCATGAGAGACTCTGGACCTGGCAGCAGCATGAGGAGGAGGGGTACAGGGGCCCATGGCAGATTACGGGGCCTGGCAGCAGCAATGGGGGAGGCCCGTAATCTGCCAGCACCCTATGACAAAAAATGGAACACACCAGCAGTGTGAGGAGACCTGAAAGTGGCACATGGCAGAGTGTGGCGATGGAGACAGCAGCAATGGGAGGCCGTACAGGGACCCATGATGAGACTCTGGACCTGGCAGCAGCAGATGGAGGCGGGCGGTACAGGGGCCCATGGCAGATTACGGGCCTGGCAGCAGCAATGGGAGGCCCGTAATCTGCCAGCACCCCTATGACAAAAAATGGAACACACCAGCAGTGTGAGGAGACCTGAAAGTGGCACATGGCAGAGTGTGGCGATGGAGACAGCAGCAATGGGAGGCCGTACAGGGACCCATGAGAGACTCTGGACCTGGCAGCAGCATGAGGAGGCGGTACGGGGGGCCCATGGCAGATTACGGGCCTGGCAGCAGCAATGGGAGGCCCGTAATCTGCCAGCACCCTATGACAAAATGGACACCAGCAGTGTGAGGAGACCTGAAAGTGGCACATGGCAGAGTGTGGCGATGGAGACAGCAGCAATGGGAGGCCGTACAGGGACCCATGAGAGACTCTGGACCTGGCAGCAGCATGAGGAGGGGGCGGTACGGGGGCCCATGGCAGATTACGGGCCTGGCAGCAGCAATGGGAGGCCCGTAATCTGCCAGCACCCTATGACAAAAAATGGAACACACCAGCAGTGTGAGGAGACCTGAAAGTGGCACATGGGCAGAGTGTGGCGATGGAGACAGCAGCAATGGGAGGCCGTACAGGGACCCATGAGAGACTCTGGACCTGGCAGCAGCATGAGGAGGCGGTACAGGGGCCCATGGCAGATTACGGGCCTGGCAGCAGCAATGGGAGGCCCGTAATCTGCCAGCACCCTATGACAAAATGGAACACACCAGCAGTGTGAGGAGACCTGAAAGTGGCACATGGCAGAGTGTGGCGATGGAGACAGCAGCAATGGGAGGCCGTACAGGGACCCATGAGAGACTCTGGACCTGGCAGCAGCATGAGGAGGCGGTACAGGGGCCCATGGCAGATTACGGGCCTGGCAGCAGCAATGGAGGCCCGTAATCTGCCAGCACCCTATGACAAAATGGAACACACCAGCAGTGTGAGGAGACCTGAAAGTGGCACATGCAGAGTGTGGCGATGGAGACAGCAGCAATGGGAGGCCGTACGTACAGGGACCCATGAGAGACTCTGGACCTGGCAGCAGCAGATGAGGAGGCGGTACAGGGGCCCATGGCAGATTACGGGCCTGGCAGCAGCAATGGGAGGCCCGTAATCTGCCAGCACCCTATGATGACAAAATGGAACACACCAGCAGTGTGAGGAGACCTGAAAGTGGCACATGGCAGAGTGTGGCGATGGAGACAGCAGCAATGGGGGAGGCCGTACAGGGACCCATGAGAGACTCTGGACCTGGCAGCAGCATGAGGAGGCGGTACAGGGGCCCATGGCAGATTACGGGCCTGGCAGCAGCAATGGGAGGCCCGTAATCTGCCAGCACCCTATGACAAAATGGAACACACCAGCAGTGTGAGGAGACCTGAAAGTGGCACATGGCAGAGTGTGGCGATGGAGACAGCAGCAATGGGAGGCCGTACAGGGACCCATGAGAGACTCTGGACCTGGCAGCAGCATGAGGAGGCGGTACAGGGGCCCATGGCAGATTACGGGCCTGGCAGCAGCAATGGGAGGCCCGTAATCTGCCAGCACCCTATGACAAAAAATGGAACACACCAGCAGTGTGAGGAGACCTGAAAGTGGCACATGGCAGAGTGTGGCGATGGAGACAGCAGCAATGGGAGGCCGTACAGGGACCCATGAGAGACTCTGGACCTGGCAGCAGCATGAGGAGGCGGTACAGGGCCCATGGCAGATTACGGGCCTGGCAGCAGCAATGGGAGGCCCGTAATCTGCCAGCACCCTATGACAAAATGGAACACACCAGCAGTGTGAGGAGACCTGAAAGTGGCACATGGCAGAGTGTGGCGATGGAGACAGCAGCAATGGGAGGCCGTACAGGGACCCATGAGAGACTCTGGACCTGGCAGCAGCATGAGGAGGGGGGTACAGGGGCCCATGGCAGATTACGGGCCTGGCAGCAGCAATGGGAGGCCCGTAATCTGCCAGCACCCTATGACAAAATGGAACACACCAGCAGTGTGAGGAGACCTGAAAGTGGCACATGGCAGAGTGTGGCGATGGAGACAGCAGCAATGGGAGGCCGTACAGGGACCCATGAGAGACTCTGGACCTGGGCAGCAGCATGAGGAGGCGGTACAGGGGCCCATGGCAGATTACGGGCCTGGCAGCAGCAATGGGAGGCCCGTAATCTGCCAGCACCCTATGACAAAATGGACACACACCAGCAGTGTGAGGAGACCTGAAAGTGGGCACATGGCAGAGTGTGGCGATGGAGACAGCAGCAATGGGAGGCCGTACAGGGACCCATGAGAGACTCTGGACCTGGCAGCAGCATGAGGAGGCGGTACAGGGGCCCATGGCAGATTACGGGCCTGGCAGCAGCAATGGGAGGCCCGTAATCTGCCAGCACCCTATGATGACAAAATGGAACACACCAGCAGTGTGAGGAGACCTGAAAGTGGCACATGGCAGAGTGTGGCGATGGGAGACAGCAGCAATGGGAGGCCGTACAGGGACCCATGAGAGACTCTGGACCTGGCAGCAGCATGAGGAGGCGGTACAGGGGCCCATGGCAGATTACGGGCCTGGCAGCAGCAATGGGAGGCCCGTAATCTGCCAGCACCCTATGACAAAATGGAAACACACCAGCAGTGTGAGGAGACCTGAAAGTGGCACATGGCAGAGTGTGGCGATGGAGACAGCAGCAATGGGAGGCCGTACAGGGACCCATGAGAGACTCTGGACCTGGCAGCAGCATGAGGAGGCGGTACAGGGGCCCATGGCAGATTACGGGCCTGGCAGCAGCAATGGGAGGCCCGTAATCTGCCAGCACCCTATGACAAAATGGAACACACCAGCAGTGTGAGGAGACCTGAAAGTGGCACATGGCAGAGTGTGGCGATGGAGACAGCAGCAATGGGAGGCCGTACAGGGACCCATGAGAGACTCTGGACCTGGCAGCAGCATGAGGAGGCGGTACAGGGGCCCATGGCAGATTACGGGCCTGGCAGCAGCAGCAATGGGAGGCCCGTAATCTGCCAGCACCCTATGACAAAAAATGGAACACACCAGCAGTGTGAGGAGACCTGAAAGTGGCACATGGCAGAGTGTGGCGATGGAGACAGCAGCAATGGGAGGCCGTACAGGGACCGACATGAGAGACTCTCTGGACCTGGCAGCAGCAGCATGAGGAGGCGGTACAGGGGCCCATGGCAGATTACGG